AGTGGTATTTTTGCAAATGACACCACTAAGTAATATTTTTGCAAATGTGCACACAAAAAGTGGTATTTTTGCATTTGCTCCTATATTTTTTGATTTGCATGATACAAAATAAAATATGAGAATTATAATATAAACTGGCTTCTACTGGTGTTAGGATATACGTTAAATAGTATTTTAAAATACAACGAGATACTAATTAAAATTTAAATTTTTATTTCATTAATTTTTATTGTATTTACTCGCGTATTAACGCGAGTCCTATTCTATATATAATATATAGTAAGGTTTCTTTTAGTTGAAGTTATGAGAGACAGCTATGTATCATCTATTTTTTTTTCATGTGTCTTTTAATTTATTTATTCAAGAGAAAATGAAAATTATAAGTCTTTTTCTCTTTCCAATAACTTACACTATTAATTTCAACGATTTAATAGCTAATTCTAATGTTAATTACTAAATAAAACCAAAAGAGACAATTAGGTTAAAACGCTCCCAGACCCGAAGTTCGAAGTAGTCGCCGACTGAGTTTCACCATATATCTCAACCTCCGGCAACAATCCTCCTCCTTTGAATGACGCATCACCAAAGGCAACGAAGCTTCCCGAAGAACCATCTTTTGGCTGCCGCTGGATCTCCGTAGCCGCCGGCGAGTTTCGTCCACAAGCTCCTCCGTTAAAGCCATGGTTTCCACATCGGTCGCGTCTCTACACCCGACTCCATCAGATCTGATGAGGATGACGACGACTTGGTCACCATGGCATAAGCTCTTCTCTCCAGCGCTGCCAAATCCTCCCAAACCACCAGTACCCCTAATCCCACCAGATCTGCCGCCTTCCAAACCTGTAACAACCGTCAACTTGTTCCTCCTCCCAAATCTCGTAGTTTCGGCTCTTTCCTTGAACATAAACCCACAGCATACATTGGCGGTGGTTCTGAATCCCGACGACCTTGCTAGCGGTTCTCCACATCCCTCTTCGGTGAACCACCTCTCGTGTAAAGCCATCGACTCTCCTCTCGGAGTGGTGACGAAGAGGGAAACCGCGACTGCTTCCCTCCCCAATCTCTCAATCAATTCGTTTAGGGCTAGGTCAGATGTAAACCCGCCACACTCACGGTGGCGGTGGTCCCATGCGTCACCGGATCCACCTCCGTAAGCTCCTCACACACCTTTGTGGTATTGGGCCTGTTGTGGTTAATTTTGGCCCATAGGTTAAAGGTTTTGTTAGGAGAATTCGATACTGGGCTTAGGGTAAGAAGAACATTGAAGTTATCGAGGCCTCCTTTGAACGCAAATCCGCCAGGTCTTTGGCGATGGTCCTAAGGCCCTCCGCGGCCGGCTAACCACAAGCTTCTCCGCCGATTTAAACCTCCCTTGCTTAGACTATAATGTCTAGGCTCGTTTTTGTCGGTAAAAGTTATTGGGTTTGAGTGTAAAACCAGGATCTCTGAATCCATGGTGACTCGTGTTGATGACAAATCGGCTTTGTCGCATCAACTAGAAGAATGCTTAAGGCCTTTCTCGGTAAAATCCGAAGCCTTATACTTGGATCAAGTCTTCTCTTTAGGCTTGATAGTTGTTCCCAAACTACATGGTTTATCCCATGAATCTATCCTCCTTTGTTTCATCTTTCGCTTTAGTTCAAGATTAGCAAGTTTAGTTGTTGAGACTCTTGCAAGAAAAGCATTTTATGATGTTGTAACCGATCCAAATGTTTAAGATGATGAAGAAGTTATTTGTTGTTCAAAAAAAAAAATTCTAATTTTAATTAATTCTAATAAGTTATAATATATATTAGACATTATCTCTTTTTTTTTTATATTGACAAAAAATATTATTCCAAATTAAATTTGTTATTATAAAATTTTATTGGAAAATAGATATTTTATATATTGAACCCAACAATATACTATATTAAAAATCTAAGATTTTAAAGTTTTTTCTCTAAACTTTATAACATGTTAGGCAATTAAAACTTTTGTAAATTGAGAAGAACTCTAATTATGATGACAAAAACAGAATTCACTTCACCAATATATCAATGTAAAAGATAAAAATCACAGCAAAACAATCAAAAGAAAAACAAGAATACTATCAAGCAACAATTATTCTTTTTGTTTTTACGATTCAAAGTTTTAACGAAATAAACATAGAGACACATTCCAACATTTTTGTTGAGATGATGCAAATGAATAAATTTCTTTACCAACGTGTTTGATGCAATAAAGACCAAACATATTTTTTAAATTACTTTACATTTGTATTATCTCACACAATATATGCATGTTTCCTACAAGTTTATGTCAATTTCTATATAAATTTTTATTATTGAATGATATTTTTACATATAACATTGTATCAATAATTTGTTACAAATGTTTAGTCTTCGAGTCTAAATAATTATTTACTATAAACACCAAATGACATCTTTTTAAAAATTTTGCAAAAATACACTCTCCTTTTTTCATATTCCTAATTTACCCTCATTGTAAACCAGA